CTTGTATGTGCTGATCTGCATGCGCGTTTTGGTGGTTGCTCTCGGCGACCCTGTGGGCGCATAGACACTAGCAAATTGGCGAAGCCAGGTGTTCCGAATGCGTACCGAGGTACGTTGGCGTTCGTATTGAGCAGACCCTCACAGAATACAGTCAAAGGTCACTACTTGCATATTCAGCAAACCTTACTAGAAGCGGGTAAATCATCATATGGTAAATCCACTAGCCAAAATAGACACGGTTTGTTCGCAGTCTCTGGAACTTATCGATGCTCGCCGGCGCATTCCGGCTGGGAGCGAACAGAACGAGACGCGCCAAGACATCAGCGCAAAACTCCGTGCTAACCTGAAGAGAGACCGTGCGTCAGAGATGGAAGTGGCCGCTGTCCTCGGTAACCATCGGAAGTTGTTCCGTCTGATACGGGAAACTGGCAGCAAGAGACCTGGTGTCAGCGAAACTATACGTGATGAGTGGACAGCTTATCCACAACTTGTCAAAAAGCTTGGAGAGTTGAGCTGAGCAATTTTAAAAGCAATTTAATCGGCCAGAATTGTTGGATTCCTTACCGGCCATTGATCGCCCTGATCCCTGGGCTGTCCCTATGGATCGGCCCTTTCGCGCAGAATTCGAACGTGAGATCGGACTTGGAGTTGAATGGGGCAGCGGGAGCAGATGATCATCATCTTCGGGGATCCTGCTCTTGTCGATGATTTACGAAAATTGTCAGTGAGAGTGTGGGAACAGAAAACTGTCCCAACCGACTGGAGCCGCTCTGTTATTGTCCTGATCTTCAAAGGAGGCTCGCATTCGGAATGCGGCAAACATAGAGGAATTAGTCTGAACCCCATCGCTTCCAAATTACTTGCCTCGGTAATCCTTCACAAAATGACCGGCGATCGTGAAAGCCAGATTCGTGAGGAGCAGGCCGGGCTTCGTCGAGGTCGGGGATGCATCAACCACATATTCACATTCAGTCAGTTGCAACACCGTCACCTAGATTGGCGGCCCACCGTTGTCGTGTTCCTCGACATTAAATGTGCCTTCGATTCGGTGGATCAAAGTGCCATTTGGGACTATCTGCTAAGGAAAGGTGTGCCCGAGAAGTATGTAAACATTATGCGAACGCTTTACGAGCGAAACCCAGGCAGAGTGAGGGATTAAGGCAAGCTGTCACTGCTCTTCCGCATCTCCAGCGGTGTAAGACAAAAATCACACTGTCACCTTTCCTCTTCAACTTCGCTATTGACGAAGCCATGGAAATCGCGTTCACAGGACACGACTTAGGTGTGGACCTGCTCCCAAGTAAACGAATTCTTGACTTTGAGTATGCTGACAATATTGGCCTAATCTGTGACAGTTCCCTAACGTGCCAAAACTGCAATGGACAGATTAGCACTGACAGTCAGCCGTTTCGGGCTTTGCTTTGCACCATCGAAATGCAAAGCGTTCCTCCAAGATTGGCAGGGATCGTCTCCTGCGCTGACCCATGGTTGGGATCAGCTAGAAGTCGTTCGGAAATTCAACTACCTGGGAAGTTGTATCAGCGCCCTTGGGATCGAAGACGAGATCACGAACCGTATAGCAAAAGCTCGAGGCGGTTTTGCTAATCTCCGCCACCTAAGGTGGCGGCGCGACATTACTCTCGCCCTGAAGGGTAGAGGGTACAATGCAGCGGTACGTTCGAACTTACTGTACGGTTGTGAAACCTGGCCCCTAAGATCAGCAGACATGAAGAAGCTAGTTACGTTCGACAATCGGTGCCTTTGCAGTTTGGCTCACATCTGGTGAGAACACCGCCTAAGCAACGAGCGTGTTCGACGCCTTGTTTACGGCACAGAAAAAGGAGCTGAACCGCTCAGCACCGTCATTTCACGCACCAGACTCTGATGGCTGGGCCACGTGTTGCGCATGCCAGCCCACTGACTTCCACGACATGCGTTGTTTGCTCACAGTGGATGTGGATGGAAGAAGAGGTGGGCTGGGCAAGCGATGACTTGGTTTAGAGGAATGAAGGCCCTCACTTCTGAGCTGGTCTCGGTTGGAGCGTCACGGCTTCTTGGTTGGGGTCCAAAAGACGGTGAACACGTTTGACTGCATACACTGGTTGACATGGCAAGGAGCCGATCTCAGTGGCGTTCCTGCTCTGAATTTCTTTGTCCCTCCCCATCCCTTTTAGCTTCCCCTTCCACCTACGATCTCATTTCATAGCGTAAACACAATAAATTTTCTTTTTGCCTAGTAGCCGACTGATAGCTTACCGGGACGATGCCTATCCGTTGCTGGTAGCTCAGCTGGCATGCAACTGTTGTATTTATTTTCCTTTTCCTTTATGTATTGCGGCACAGTAGCTGAGGTGTTTCTCACCTCTAGCTGACGTGTATAATGATGATGATGATGAATCGCCTCATGGAATGTAACCACCTACGCACTACCGCGTATCACCCTGCTTCTAACGGCTTGGTGGAACGTTTCCATAGACAGTTGAAGGCAGCTATTACAGTCAGCGTTAATTCCTGGTACGAAGCCTTGCTCATCATAGTGCTCAGTATACGTAACATCAAGATATCGGCTGCTCTTCTGCTGAGCTTGCGTTCGGTACACCGCTCCGACTTCCTGGTGAGATGATTGTCGATTCCAGAATCACTGGTGAATTGGATCCCACTTCATATGTCGCCCGGCTTAAACATCATATGAATCAGGTACAGCCGACGCCGACAAGAATGACATCAAGCACACCGCAAATTTATAAGGATTTACATTCATGCCCCTTTGTATTCGTTCGCGTGGACGCTGTTCGCAAGTATTTGCAACCGCCTTATGAAGGGCCATTCAAAGTGACCTCGTGACATGACAAGTATAACGCTGTGGATCGTAACGGCACGGGTGATTCTGTCAATCTGGACCGTTTGAAAGTTTCTTATCTGGATGATTGTTCCAGCTTCGCTTCGGCTTTTGCACAGTCATCCTCGCCTGATACTGGTACGAGCATCGAATGTGCTCGTACACATCCAACGACAACTAGGTCTACAGACCCTGCCGGTACACCACAACTCCATACAACACATCCCCGTTCTGGTAGGACTAATAAAACTCCTGTGCATTTTCGCGACTACACAGTGACATTATCGAGCGTATTATCTCTTTCGAACGCTCCGGAGGAGTTCTGTAGCGCTTGTAAATTTATTTGTCTTTCATTGTACCTTCCATTCCTATTCGCAACAAATTATTGTACATTGACCTTGCATAGTTGTTTTGATTGATGAATAACACACTTTTTGAAGTTCCGCGGGTTACTCGACATGTTCTTCCTGTTACTGTGTTGTGGAATGCGTGGCCCTATCGATCACCATATTCTAACCAAGAGCATTATCCATTCACAAACCTCGTTTCATCCAAGCCGGATTTACCAACGTTGCTCATCATTCGTCGGAGTTGCTAACGCAAAGTGACGAGGAAATTGTATGTGGTTGGACTGTTAACCGGACATTGAAAATCCTTCTATGAGTCTTGTCATTTCTGTTCATACTTGCTCACTGTTATTTTTCCTTTTGGGCCTCGGTCCACTACACCGTTTCTTAGGAGCTGATGTGTACCACGCTTCAGAAAAACGGAAGCTAGAGAGCACTAAGATGATGCCCATGTGAACACCAGACTCGGGCTCCGGTGATGAGGTCATCACATTTTGCGTCTCCTGTGATATTGGATATGTGACCCGCTGCGTGCATTGCGCCGGTCTGTTCGAATGGAAATAAATTAACGAGAGCAGATGTATCGTTTGTTTTAGGGTCTCAGTAGTAAATCGCAGGCGGTTCTCACCGACTGAAATACCTGGTACAAGATATACGGCTGATGGGATCATTTCCTTAGTTCCTCAGCGTAGCCATAACATCACATTTGTGGATGTTTCTAGACTGCTGTTGTATCTCCCTAATAGATTGGAACATGCGCTGACTGCAAGAAACATATTGGCAAAACGACTTTACAGCGGCAACGTAAGCATCGCGTTACCCACGCTCATCGAAAGACAGATTGCCTTGAAATCAAAATGATCAGATAGCTGCTGTAAATGGGCATCAACAATACACCAGTACGTTGTGCCAACGCTACTACCGCTGGTAGCGCGCCGTCTACAAATATTGCGAGGCCATCCGTACCTACACACTCTTTAATGAGCCCAGATTGCGGTCCCAAAAGGCAAATTGATTCAGAGAGTTTATGCAAGTAAACTTCCCGTCATCTTAGCCATAAAACGTTGATAGAGTGCTAATTAGGGAAAGAAAACGTGTAGCACACGCAGCGGTCGCGTGATGACCAGCCGAGGTGCTAAGCAAAATTGCGTTGCTTGGTTCATACAACCGGACTCAACATACAGCTCAATATCCCGCACCGATCGCCTAAGCGTACAAGGAAATAGTGCTTTTAGTTAGAATTTTGTACAATGGGCTCAGGCAGACGGAAATTCTTCAGAGCGCTACGATTTGAACCGGCGACACCTTATCCACTCCATCACCACCGGAGCTGTCGTGCAAAATTATAATGATTATAACGTTGGTGACTGTGAGGGGATGTTTGTGTTCTTGAGGTTCGTCAACAGCGCGCTACTGGAAGCGACGTCGCATAGCTGCCTTCAGACAACCATATCGCAAAGCTGCTTGCGACTGGCCCAACAGAGAGTTGGAGTTCTTCCGCGCCGACTGTTTCTAAATAATAGTATAATGCATAAGCTAAACATGATGCACAAGAGAAGGTAGATTCCTCAGGTGAATGCTTGGAAACCGGGGATCCTACGTATGCGTCAGCGGTTTGAAGCAATAAGCACGTGATTCAGGGAGTAAACTATGGCTGTGCCGAATGACCCGAATACACAATAATTAGTCTTCTAGGTTGGATTACCTTAATTCATAAACATACAGCTGATGAGCAGGAAAAGACCCCTTTGGGACCCCAATTTCACTGCCATAGTCAGTCAGAGGCGAATGGTGCCTGCTCCTAGTTGACTCACCAGAATCATCCAAGCGGCGAGAGGCGCGGCTCGAAGTATATTTATGCATGCCAGAGATATGTCCTGGAAATTGGGGGACAAAATAGTGACCAATTAACACGTACTATTTGGGACCTGATTTCAAGTCATTATTCTAATTCTCCTTCATATCATGATGAAGTCAAACAGTTTCGGAGTAACACAGTGACTCACTCAAACAGGTAAATGATTAAGCTGTTTTCGTGGCACGGCTACAGTGTAATATTGCATCCGTAAAACCGAAAAATAGGATTAGTGGAGAGACTGCAAACGAAATAATGTACGAAGCACTGAGTAAACAAGCTGAAACATGCTTGTCCAAGCGTGGAGACGCGCACTTGAGACGGCTAGCCATCCCAGACCCCTACAAGTTTCACCAAGCAGGATGAAAGCCACTTTGAGAAAGTTTGATGTAGTGAACAAACGAAAATAGATTGTCCATTTGCAAACCTGAAAGCGGATTCCAAGTGCCGATTGTCGGCCGGCGTCCGAATCCTGGCAAAACCATGAAAATAGTTGCAGTTCAATTGTATCCAGTGTCAAGGTCCGAAAGCGTACGATCTTCGGGAGCAACATTTCGCGCCGGCGCATTATTAACAAACAACTGCACAGTAGCATAGTCAGTCTTAATGACAATGGGCAGGGAAGGGCTAAAGGACATAGTACGAAAAGAATGCAGCGTAACATGAACACAAGCATCAGGTTATTGCGAGAGGAGAAGGCGGCATTAGTGACGCGGTTCCACTGAAATTTCAAAGACATATAGACAATGTACCATCCGACCGGATCAATGACTCGAACTTGCATAAGTGCGGGTGACTCCGCAGGATTCCAATCCGCACGCGTGGCAATGATGTGTTGATATAAGATTCTGGTGAGTGCTGACACGCTTTTCATGCACGCTAAGAAAGCATAACCGGCGCATCGACACTGGACCTTAACATGGTGCGAGGGTTTGTGTACCACTTCGTCTCATTCAGCTATACTTGGCGGTGTCCTGCGCCCTTCGAGAGCCACTCCCACAAGTTTGGTCAAAGCAGACAAACAGTCTTCTGATCCTCCACGTTGGGAGTTGAAAGTGGGAACGTGTCCATTGCATTGCCACCTCCCCTGCCTTGCGGACAGGCTTTTGAGCCAAAGGCTTTGGATGAGGACCCTAATCGTTCTCCTGTCTAGGTCTGGGCGCTCTGACAGTATCTCAATCAACGTACAACCATGACTACTTTCTCATACTCAAAACACATCCTGCACCGACCGTCGCGTAGCTTACCAAAGGTCGCCTTATCTGCTGCACACAGCAGCGCTGACAACCGAAAACATGCTGCTGCTGACACCCTCCTTTTCTTTTCACTTGTTTTACCTCTCTCTCGATCCCTTCCAATAACCCTTCTCAGTAGTTCCCAGCTTAATTGATAGCAGCCCCATTGCCACTGGTGCAATACCAATTGCAGCTACCTCGTCGCACCACCAACTGGAAGCCTACTAGAGGCAGCCCTTTACAGGGCTACGCTGTCCGATTTTGTTGGCAGCGCAACATATCAGTCTTTCCAGGAGTTGGCGTAGCAACTGTGTCAGACCCAAGGATTGCTGTCGTCCACATACAGTCGGTCAACTGCCAGAACTTCAACTTGGTAGACTCCGAAAGAACCGATTCATTCATGAACATTTGGATCAGAAAGTTAAAGAGAAAAGGAGATATAGGACAACTCTGGCAAATCCCACTTCTAGTCGGAAAATCAGGTGACAGTTTCCAGTAGACCCATACACTGCCTCGGGAATCACAGTAGGCAAACTTTAGAGTGGAAGGGAGTTCAGTTAGCACATCCTACATGGATAAGTAGTGCCATAAACTGGCGCAGTCAACTGACTCGAAGGCGGCTTTCAAGTCATGAAAAACCACCATAGTCAGTCGTCGACATGTGTGCATCTACTCAAACACATGACAAAAAGTAAATATGTGATCGATACCACCAAGACCAGAGTGGAAACCAGCCTGACATTCAGTGATTCGCTTCACACGGGAACCAGTAAGTCGTCGGAGAACCACGCCCGTAAGAAGCATAGATGCAGCGGGAGCAAGATTAGTGCCCCGATGATTTTCGCATAAAGTACGATAACCCTTCTTGAAGATGGACGCAACGGTTGACAGTTACCTGCCTGAATGCACTTCAACGAAGTTCCAAATCGTGTTAAAAAGAGAAGCGAGTCCAGTCCACAAAGCCACCATCATGCTATAGAAAAGATGGGGGAAGGTCGTCGGGTCCAGGTTTGCTTCGTCTCAAGACGGAAAGCTCATGTCGAATCTCTTTCGGTGTGAGGCGTGACATCTACTTCCCACGTCGGATCAGGTGATTCGGCATACGGCAGTGTCCCAGCAGACCTGCTAAATTGCTCTTCAAAATGTTCCACCCAACGAGCTAGTCGATGCGATTGAGAATGAACCAACTCCATCTTACTCGGCTATTTTCTTGCTAACTGTTGGCTTTCCTAGACCCGTGTTCCGGATGAGCTAGAACAGCACTCGGCTGTTCCCAGGAGCACTGGGTTTCTCCATCTGACGGGCCTTTGCCATACACAAATATCTCCTTTGATTCGAAGATTCAGTGTCAGACGTGGCTTCAGGGAGTTACGGACACGCTGAAAATCAATGCGCATCGGAACCTGTTTACGCACTTCGATCAAACTGATCGATGCTTCAGATCCATACACAGTTACGACGCCTCAAGTTTGGTGCAGAGCAAGTGTCGCAGGCATCCTCCATGGTACATTTGAGACGATCCCGGTCAGCACTCGGTTGAACAACTTTCCTCATCACTGACATTTAGTGAGTCAGTTCGTCATGATATTGTTGAACGGCAGATTGCGAGTTGAATTTACGAGTAAGGTAAGAAGATAGGTGCTTCTTTGAAGAGTGCCAGACATGCGGGCACTACAGCATGGTCGGAATCCAGGCACGTGCTCCGAAATGACCGACAGTCTTCGACTGATGTGCGCCATCTGTAGCTGATGGCAATATGGTCCAGTTGGGTCCAGATGATTGAGGAATTCGGTGGGCGCCAGATGACGCCGTGCGAACGTTTATGTGGGGAAGCAGTGTATAGTAGTCTGGAGGTTCTTTGGTTTGCCTGTGTAAAACTCTAACTAAAATTACTTCTAATGAAAACATTAAAATTATTTTACTGTACACCTAGGCGACCGGTGTGGTTTGTTGAACTGATTGCTGAGTTCGAATGCTTGACTTGATCATCGCCATTTTTGTTTGGCGTTAGTCTCCGTAGCAACGCGCAACTGCCTTGTGTGCTGTGCATTATCGGTTTCCCTAGCTAGAGCGTCAACGGTGTCGTTTTTTTATAGCTAGGGAACAGGGAATCTTTTATTGTACCAATAAAAGTTTTCCTGCAACCTGATCTGTCTTCTGAATCGCTCCCCGGGCTCCCGCTAAAGGCTACTCGCTAAATTGGAGACCCCGACTGCGGAAGAAATGTAACGCCAGATATTCCGAATTTTACTCCGGTGAGCTCGTTCCATTTAATTTTTCGTATTTTCCGGTTTATTTTTGCATACGGTAGCATGTACTTTGCGTCCATTTTTTAAACCATGGAATCTGTAGACCATAAAGTGGAGTCTCTCCTTAGCGTTTTATCTCTCTGTGCCACCTTTTTGGGACAACAGTAGTACATCAGCCATTCGAACTGATGCTTCGCTGTCATATAACCATAAGGACCTATGAAATAAAGAATAATAAGAGGGAGAGAAGTGGGACTTGCCTGAAAATTTTAATGCTCTAAGCAAACATTCATGGTCAAGGCGCCTACACCTTTTGTAGACAACATACCGTCACAAACAGCTGGCTATCGTACAAAGATAAAGCAGCATCAGCGAGACAGCTTCCTTACGGTTTTCACTGCCCCCGCATCATAATCAGCCATTACCCCGCAGATAGCCCAGCACAAAACACACTTTAAACAGGCAATCCGATTAGGAGACGGCAGCAGACGTTTACGATCGAAGTGGTCATGAATGTATCGGTCCTTTCAGATTACCGGAGTGGAAGTTCTGCCACGACCCACTGACAAAACTGGAGTATGCGGACGACGTAGCTATCCTTGGGTCTAACGCAGTTGCTACGTAAACAACCCTGGAAAAACTGATGCGTAGCGTTGCACGCTTCGGCATGTGTTCTGCACTTGCAAAGTGCAAAGTACTGTTGCAGGATTAGACCGATACATTACGTTACGGCTATCACCGAACAGCCATTGGAATTGGTGTATCTGACATGGCTAGTTCTTGGCGAAGGCATGGAACGCTTAGTTGTGATTGGCCATTGGTGCTTGCCGAGTATTGCTCAAGTCTGTTAGAAACTGTGTAAGCAATGCTGAGGTCCGCTAGTTGGCTTTTGGCAAGAAGCCTCAGTTGAAAGCTTGCTGAAGCTTAATCGCTAACGTTGTCTAATTTATGTCCTCCGTTGACCGGTTTTCTGGGTGTATTTAATTCGTTGCTTTCACGTGATGACGTGACACAGAGACTTAAAGAAATCGACTGAGCCTCGGTCGGGCCGTCTTACTTGATGGGAACTTCGGAATGGTCCACACCAATGATCGGATTCCCTTGTAGACATGGCGTAGTCACGCAGTCAGTGACGTTCCTGCATCCGGTTGTTAATTTCGTACCAATGTTTAGTCTAACGCATTTCCTTCTTGTTTCCATTTCTTTACACTATTTGCACTCAACAGCATTGTTCTGAGGTCACTGTTTGTGGTTATTCTTGCGATGAGTCGTCGCAACTGGATCCACCGCACTTCGGTGCTCGGATCATGTGTTCAGCTGAAATGAAATGGGTTTAGATCACTGGTATGAACACTGAGCAATGATGGTTTTCGACGCTTGTTTATGGTGCAGGAAAGACATTAAATGTCGGGCTTAATTAGCTAAAAATGAGGCTCCGGTAGCTGGAGGATGTTATGCAAATATAGATAGGCCGACTCCCACGACTTCCGTTGTTTGCGCCGCTGGGATCTGGATAGAAAAAGGAACCCAACCGATGATCTGGTCAAGCAAATAAAAGCCCCAACTGCAAATATGACCTTAGTTAGTATATCTCGAATCCGGGGTTGGGTTGCTAGAAATAAAGACGTTTGGTCTAAGATGCTTGACATAGTTCATAGCCGACAGTGGTGTCCGTGTTGTTTCTTCGCATCAGAATATACCACAGCCTTCACGTTCAACCCGATCTTAATTCCAGTGCATGAGGAAAAATCAGCAAGGCGTTACTCGTTTGTTAGTTTAATGTCATGTACCGTATTGCGGTACAACAGTCATCGTGTTTTCCACTTCTAGCTACGATGTGCCACGACTCTCACCAACCGTATTTCGCAGCAATTATTACGGGTTACTCAATCAAAAATCCCCGTGCCCTTGCCAAAACAGCGCTTCAGTGCGTTTAGATGAAGGCAAGTTTTTACAGCAAGATCGTGATGACTGCTTAATCAAGTGAAAGGAAACACGGTGTACCAGGGAGGTGAAACAGAGCGTAGGGTAGGATGCTGTCGTGTTTATTTTGAGGGACCGAACGACGCTTCCATGGAACGGAGTTCGCTTACCGGTGTAAGAAACAAAACGTTAGTTAGGCGGAAGCCTGTATCGTTTTTGGAACCTGACCTGACTTGAGAACAAATCGGTCAGCCCAAGCAGAATTGGTAAAGCTAAATCATAACGGTCAGGCGAAGCAAATGGCACAGATGCATCGTGTCCTAAGTGATTCAAAAAGAATTTACAAGGACTAAAACTGCTAAATATAGTCAGATCATGACTAGGAAAGTCATAATGAGAGTAACTAGTTACCTTCGAGGAAATCAGTGAACTGCGCGTCGTTATGATTAGAGGCGATAGTATGTAGCTCCAGTAGACTCTTGTTAACAGTCTTCTCCAACTCCAAAGCAGTTTCCATTGCTTCTAGTCCAGATGCCCAGCCGTTGGGTTCCGGTGGGGCAATGTTTTGTAAAACGATGCGACCGCCCCGAAGATTCTGATACTTCATAAGCTAAAACATGAGTAAAACAGACGCACAAGTACCTTCTTTGCATGTTCTCGTTCTTCGTTGGACTGCTTAAGGAAGTACTTATAGAAACCTGGGAGGGATACGTCATCTCTATCGAAGTGGTAGGCCATCGCTAAGTATACGTAACTCGCGTGAAGTTCCAAGTTGATCTGCTTGTTTACACCAGCTTCGCAGTCCACATGATAGAACTGACGACATAAGGATGACATTGCGGGGCGTGATAATCACAGAGACGAAGAAAGAAACCGCAAGGGAAGGAGCAGACCAGGAAGTACACCGAAAACTGAATCGAGAAGCGGCGAAACGAGAGGCTGCGATTAGCAAATAGGAGCCATTTAAATCCATGGTATATGTTAAGAAGCCTAAGTTGCAACACTTAGAAAACCTAGGCTGCACATCACGTTTATATATCGCAAGCACTAGCAACCATATTTTGCTAAACAACAGAGATGCCAACTGTGCGCGCATATGCAGACTGAACTCAGTCATGAGCCATCATCGCGTCTTATATTTGTTTTAAAATGTAATCGATTTCACATGAGTTACATATTATTCACATGGACAAATTTACGTTGAAATTGAAAATTATATGTTGGAACATTGGAACATTGTATTTAATGGGAATAAAAGCTGGAGCTTTACATGACCCATAGGGTAAAAAGAGTACGGGTCGGGTTTAATGAAAGGCCAAGCAACCTTATAGCGGGTTGGACTCTCGTGTTAGCCGTATCTTCATCGGGCTTATGTGGCATTTAAACAGAATGCACGCCGGCTCAAAGCGAGACATCCCACCACGCCCTCCGAAACGGCTTTGGAAAGGAGGTGATACATGAATTGGACCATATGCACTAAAAATGCAGAAGAACAAATGACTGCTGTAAGTTATTGCAATGCATCATAGATTATTGCATTTTCAGCATTAGAACACGGTATAGCAGAACGTGGAGATGCACCTGTAGTCCTGCCCAGTGAGGTCACGCTGCTCGCAAGCGAAATTGACCGATTGAAGAACGCGCGAGCTGCGCTCGGTGGAAGTACATACAAAATAGTCTACGTCAACAAGGATTCTGGGAAAAATCTAAGGAATACGTAACGCTGTTGTATAAACCTTAGTCTTCAAGCATCCATGCCTGTACATGCGTATTACTACGATAAATAAATGTACAATTAATGGCCTCACACCAAGTCCCAAGGAGGATCTTTGGCACGAATTCGGTGTATACTGCTTTGAACACAGCCATGTAAACTGAAACCGCAGTATGTCAAGTTTTGACTGGATACCTTTACACATGCAGACGTACACAAGCTTTGCGCCTCTATTTACCATGCACCGCGAAATTTGTTCTTCAGTTGTTTGCAAAGTGGAGAGCTTTCAGTGGAAGGACAGGATAAAGGGGGACAGGATCAAGGGATAAAACAAGTTCTTGTTTAACAAGAGTCCCGTATTGTGGGCCAGTACGTGAACAGAGCTCTCAACACTTTAACAGGCACTTTTACCTTTATACTTGTGAAAGATAGGAGTAAGAGCAGAACTGCCACATTTTCACGAAGTTACACAAGCTATTTCAAGCGGTTAGATGTCGTCATGGTTTCTCACAGGTATACGGATAGCAACGTCGACCACTTTCGTCTAGACAGCACTTGAATTCCCACACTGTTTATACTTTGAACAACTCATTTGGAAGTTCAATCCACCTTGGTGCCACTCGATTTTTGAGCAACTTAGTTATTATATCAACTCTAGATATTCGCTGTTTTTCTTTGTCACTGGCCCTTCACATTTTTCCAATCTGCAGGTTTACAGAAACGTGCGGCTAAGACCACTGGGGCCCATCGTGATTTGGAATGTTTCCCACGATTCCCTTTTCAGTCTGTGTCTATTATTGAGAAACTAGCCCAAGCTATCCAACCTGCTTTTATAGGTTACCCCGCGCTGGCCGTCTGACCTTTGGGTATCTAGGCACCGCGAATTGTTCATAAGGTTGCTGGCTTTTGCTAGTAGAGCGCCCAGGCATGTGCACAGTATTGCAAACGTGGCCAAGCGAATGATGAATATCAAGGGAGAGTGACCTCTGGCTTGGTACAACCTAGAGCTTTCCTGGGTCAAAGTAACTGGCGTGCTCTGACAGCCACATGCTTACATTGTGTGGACTACTTGAATTTATTCATCACACTAACGCCAAAATTTCTTTCTTCCTTAGCACACTGCGTGGGCAGGGATCCAACAGGCCCCCGAAATACCTATCCTGCACTCGGACTCAAGGTTTGGCACGGCATTTGGTAACACTCAAAGGCAAATCTCCTGCTTGTGACCGATAAACAACTCTTTAGGTAGGTAACCCTGTCGCCCTTACTAATAAGTGGATTCTACAGCAAATATATACTAGTAGCCCACAAGTCGATGAGTTAAGTCATTTCTAAAAAAGGAACAGTAAAGGATGGTGTGATTTACTCTGGGGTACTGCACTACTAGCAGTACCAGCGCTCAAAATGCCGTTGCCAACACTAACGCGACATGTCGTATCATAAAGGAATGCGGAAAGTCAAGAAAGGTGCAGCCAACATGCAGCTGGGTCTTTTTAATTTCCTGTACTGCGTTACCTTCCATTACCGCATCAGCAAGCTAGGTTTAGCTTAAGCCGATACATTCAGTAAAGGATTTCGTCCTGTTTTATATGTTAGAAAATGAGTGAGCTTACGTGTGCATCCTTATGTGCGTCCGGCTTTGCTAGTAAAGACATAACAGTATGTTTGGTTATATCTTACTCCTGCACAATTCGGAAAATCATTTACTTCGCTTGTTCCGTAGCAAACGCTATATTAATGTCTTAGTGGCTCATGACATGGTTTTCCACACCTATGGCGGATTGTATTTGCTGCAAAGGGTGCTCAAGATAGGTCAACATACGCTTATATACAAAATAGGTGCATTCTCGGCGTTTACACAATTCACTGAACGCAATGAACAGTGAGAGTAAATAACTAACTGACGAAATATATAACATAGTGGTTTATTTCCGACATTACGGGTCACGCCTTCAAAGGCTAGGTCGTTGCTAACAATACATATGCAAAGCAAAGGTTAAACAGACAACAATGTTCTGATATCACGCAACCAGCCACATGCGCAAACTAGTTGTGAATGTCGTTAGATCCACAAAAATGTGAAAATATGGTCAGTGTGCGTGGCGATAGGTTAGAGCGCAGGAGATAAAAACGTAAGTTGTGAAGTTGTGCCAAGAACAGCCCAAGTTTTCGGATAATTAATTAGAGGCTGAAATCAGTCACTTGGGACTTGGCTGCCCGAACAGCCTCCTCGTGGTGCTAACAGGGTGGTTCGGGTTTAACCTGTTAAAGTAATTATTTCGGCAGCAGTGTTCCAGGAATTGTTGCGTTTTCGCATGACAAACGTTCTCCCTATAAAAGCCACATATATCTTCTTAACAACACTCTGAATTGGCGGTCGTGAATTGCCACCAAATAATATCACTGCCCACTGGAGAGCCGGATAATTCTTTCGAACCCATTTACCCAAATCTTCTACTCACACATTGCTGTGGATATCAAACATTCAAGTATGGAGCAGCACAACTAAAAACCACCCAGCAACATACATATATGATTGGCGGTACGGTTTCGGATTTGCCTGTCACAGTGGCCAGCCCCAAGACGCCTGCGCCTACAGAGCGGCCATGGGTGGCTTGCGATGCACCACTACCAGCTCCAACCACACACCCCGTATGCTGTGTAATACCGAAGGAATGAGACCAGTAGGCATGTGGATAGGAGCCCAGTTTCATCAATGCAGCCGGCCCACACTCCTCCAATGGTAAACATAAGTGGCTCTAATGGCGAATCAAGCGCACACAAGACGGTGGCTGGACCGTAGTCCGCTTCACACTGAGTGTATGGAACCATTCTTTTATCTTGACATGGTCAAAATGACCGTGTATCCCGACTCCTCCAGCAACAACCAACTGTCTCCTATAACCAGTGTGAACGAGATAGTGGGTAATAGACAGGTAGGAAACCTGTCAACGTGCACATAAAAGGTAGCCACACCGGGGGTATCACGCAATAGCCACTCACTTAAGAGAAGGATGTCAAATAAAAGATATCGAGTAATGTATAAGGAAACGGTGACAGAAATCGTTAATAATGGAGCATATAAGATAAATTGTTTACAAATGAAGCCGAGATAAATTCATGAGGTCAGCAAGTATATTTTACGGAAATGCCAAAAACACCAAAAGGTTACCGAAATTAACTACAATTGGCTTAAGCGACGTCTGCAGGTGTATAGAACAGAGTGCAGGTAGACATTTATATAAGAAAGAAAAGCATTAAGACGAAATTGCAAACCCACCACCTGAATTAAAGAGACATAGCATGAAAGCTCGCGGTTAGTAAATCGAATGCAGCATACCTACATACTCTGCGCCGCTTCGGCCGACGGTTTCTGCAGGACCCGTCGTCACTTCCGTAGTGGTCCCGAGTGGTCTCGGTCATGGTGCACTAGGCTGGCCTGACTCAGGCGGTGGCGACCGCATGTGCTACAGCACCATGCGCTCGAGGTCGATGGACTACAACCCATCCGGGCTTGCTTCTTCCGCAATTTTCGCTTCTTCTCCACATGTATTAGGTCTTGCTCCCACACTTCGGCACATGTCTTCGTGATTAGAGCGCCATGCACGCCGATCAACCGCCGTCGATTCCCATGACCTACAACCAAGATTAGAACGTGAGAGGTCCACATGGCTCATTTCCTGGTAACGTACTTTTGGTTTCCCCGCGTGCGCTCCCCAATACTTAGCTGCCCATATAAGAGCTGTTTTGGTATCCGCGTCGAATCCATACGCCTCACATGACCGAGCCACCTCAGGTGTCTCAGCAATAGTATGCAGTCCACCGCATACATACCACTTGGTCGCAACACTTCAGTGTCAGCAACTCTGTCGCCGCAACCGATGGGCAAAATCCGTCGCAAACACTGCCGATGAAACCGCTCGAGATATCGCACTCCCGCCCGGCACATCGTCCACGTTTTACTGCCGTATAGAAGAACGAACAGCACCATGGATTTGTACACCATCAGTTTCGTGCTAGTGGTAAGCTGATGGTTGTTCCACACTCGGTACCCAAGCATCCCGAAAGTCGCCGCTGCCTGCGAAAAGTGGATACGCAGCCCACGGTGTAATTGCTGATCAGTCGACATCATACTCTTAAGGTAGCAAAAGTGGGAGGCGGTTTCCATTACTTCAGCCCCAATGCTGATTCGCGGCAATATTGAAGACTGCATCCCCGGTGAATGTTGATAGAGACAGACAGTTTTGCTTGTGCTAATGGTGAGCCCGAATTGGGCCACTGTTGAAGCCAGAGCATTAGTCATGTGCTGCAGCTCATCCGCGCTGTGTGCAAACAACGCACATTCGTCAGCAACCAGCAACATACGGATAGTTGTAGCACAGAATATAGTTCTGACATCGTTTATTGTAGGCCGGTCGATCTCTGAACAGCTGTTCAATAGACGGTCGGTGTTTCCGCCAGATTTGCATTATGACTACAGTCTGTGTGCAGGTGGCGTCTGAACTACCATCGATCAGCGTCCTCAGCGGCTCCAATCTCGGTCCATACACCGCTTTCAAGCAGTCAAAGCATTCTTTGTGTTGCCGGCGCCTGGCGCAGCATCCATCAGCTTCGTGTTCTCCGTCTGCCATGCATTTTTTGTGCGACGAAGTTCTAGGGTCAGTCGCCATCGTAGTTTGCGAAGCTGACTACACTTCCCCAAGTCACTGGGGTCCGCCACCAGTGTAGCAAATGTTGCAACTTGCTCGGACGGTAATACGCCAATCGTCGCACGGTTCTTATCAAAACACTCGGGCAGCTTATGGTTTGTGAGCTCGATGGTCTCCTAGACAGCAGCTGTCACATGGCCGCGAAGTTGGTGCTACAGGTCGCCCAATGTGGCTATACAGCTCACATCACACAGGCGTGCAGCCATCGTCTTCTCCCGCTCAGTACGTTTCTCCAC